CTCTCTCCCTCTCCATCTCCCTCTCCCTCTCTCTCTCTCTCTCTCTCTCTCTCGCTTTCTCTCTTTCTCTCTCTCTCTCTCTCCTCCTCCCTTTCTCTCTCTCGTGCATAAATGTATCCTCACTTCGCTAACACCGAAGTTGTTGAAGCGACAAGGGGACATCTCTGAGTGACACACAAATACCACTTGACGGAGCGTAATAAGGTGCTGCAAGTATCCCTTCAGACCAGATTATTGTATGTAATCCTGCGTCACCTTCGTTCTGGTTAAGCACAGATCTTTCTCTAGAACATTTACCTGCTAAGCCAACAACGCTCCTGCAAAAATCGTATAGCAGAGTTATAACACTTTTTCGTTTGTTTGCTTGGGTTTTTTTCAAAAAGTTGTAAACGTTTTTTAACAGGTCTTTGTGCCCTGCGTCCGTTGTTTGTATTATTATTTTTTTAAATACATCGTGGCCCTGGTGTACAGGTCTAAATCCAGTATGTTGGTCTAGGTTTGCTGTTCATATTCAAACTGCTTCACACAATCCTTTTAGGGGTTGATAGTAAAAACAATTCCCTGCCTTTTAGTACCTTTTTTTTAACTGGAAGAAAAAAAATTTAAGTCTTTTAGAGTGAAAAACTATCAGACATTTTTTTTACTACCTCTTCATCGATCAGGCACGAGGGTATTGAATGCTGGCAATGCAAAATAATAAATAGTATTTGTATAGTGCATACCGCCGCACGATAGCAAGTTCTTTGCGCTTTACACTATAATATCACTACATAAGGTAATTACTAACCATGTCTCGTCCACGGTTGGGACCTTTTACCCCAGAAAAAGCACATTGTAAACGATATAGTAACATGGAACTACAAATTATACTACGCGTGATACACGTGAAATGTGAATTCACACCATAGATCTAAGACGCACAAACGCACAAAACCATAATGTATGTTCGCTTAGTATATGTTTTTTTCCACCCCTCTCCATCGGTTAAGGACAAGAGGGCTAAACCAGATTTCGGTGATTTCCAGAAATTTTAACCTACACCAAAAATGGGCATTGCCCTACCTATAGGAGCAGTTTGGTTTCATTGGTGTGTATATTTGTTGATTTATAGAGAAAACTCTCCTTGTTTTTTAAAGATACTGAACAAGGGGCAAAAACGTTACAATCGATTTCCTCAAAACAGCATTTTTCGGGATAGCCACCGTATCTACCTCTCTTTTCTATTCATCTGTCTGTCTCTCAAGCACTCTCCGTTTCTCTCTCACACACTCTCTCACTCTCACCCCCCCCCCCTTTCTCTCTCTCTCTCTCTCTCTCTCTCTCTCTCTCTCTCTCTCTCTCTCTCTCTCTCTCTCTCTCTCTCTCTAC